ACTTTTACTGGATAAGTTTATATTCAGACTTTTCCTTTCAGGGGCCCTTGCTTCCTTTACTCATTATATTGATTCCGATCTGTGGCAAGTGGTGCCTGACCAAGTATTCTTCAACTTGAAATCTGCCCTGTACAGGCATGTTGACTTGTTTTTTATCTTCCATGGCTTCATAATGCTCACTGTTGAGATGGGGTGTTCCACAAGATTGTTTTTAGGTGAATAATCTTGTGATTTAATTGCTTCATAAACTTGCCCATTCCGTACCACCCATGAACTGCATGGGTAAAGCAGAAGGAGATAGCTGCCTATCCCTGTCATTGCCTTGTATTAAATAAATTAGTATGGTCTACTTTTCAAAATTGGTTTTTATGGTCATCCATTGCACTGTCTTAGGTGATGATGTTCCTCTGGACTCAGCACTGCATTCTCACCCTTTTACTTCTAGTGGAGTATAGGAGTCCTTACCACTTTCCAGTTCCAAGCTGCTGGGGTGGTCGACTGTGAAAGCACCCTCCTGAATGGGTTCCACACAAAGATGGCAATAACTATTCAGTGCAGAGTAGGGGGGGGGGGTGTTTTGCAGGTGTAGATGATGTGATATCCTCCAATATGCAATATACACTCACAAAGGAGCGAGATGTCAAATTGCAGTTCGCCCCTTCGATTGAGAGCCCTCATCCTACCCCTGCATGGATGTCGGTACCCCATGGCTGGGTTTTCGATTTAGAGTAGAACCAATCAACACAAGTCCTTATTCATGCTTATGGTTGTCTATATTCCTTCCTCGATCATACTCCTTCTGTGTTGTGGTTACAGTTGAAGTAAGGGGGATTATTTTGGTTTTGCCCTTTTTGCTATTCTTTGTATCTTATTCTGAGGATGTTATTGCTTTTCTGATGGTTCTGGTCAGTTTGCTGTTGGGGGAGTTGATCTATATTATATAGACATCCTTTTGATACTGAATGTTGGTTCCCTGGATCGATAGATCAAAACTAACATGTGTCATGCTCAGGAGTGGAGTGGTTCTAGATTTCCCCCAGTCTCTTGAACTTGAGATGTAGATAGTATGATCCTCATCCTACCCCTGCATGGATGTTCGTTTCTAGTTTTGGATGTAGTTGACTTACCGAGTATGGTCTGTTGCACCCTAGCCGCTCTACACCTAAGGGCACATCCACTGTTTTACCTACTTTTATACTTTGTGGGTTTGAGTTACACATATATATTAACAAGGTTAGTATCATTACCCTGCCACAGTTCTCTCCCACTTGGATGTGCTCCTCTCTTTTTTCTGCCCTGTATACCTGGTTCAGAAATGGTGTGGTTCCTCTCATTAGATCTTCAGATCTGATTCTCTCATTTCCAGGGGCCATTGGAGAAAATCCTACAGTTGGGCATGGGGACTACACTTAATACGTTTGTCTCCCATTATTTACACCATATTGTAGTTTCTTCCTTGTTGGGTTTTTATCTTCCACTTGTGGTCATTCTTCAGGCTTCAGTATGACTTTTACTGGGTAAGTTTATACTCATACTTTTTTTTCCTTTCAGGGGCCCTTGCTTTATTCACTTATTATATGGATCTCGATCTGTGGTGAGTGGTACCTGACCAGGTATTCTTCAACTTGAAACCTGCACTGTACAGCCATGTTGACTCGAGCTTTATCTTCCATGGCTTCACAATGCTCACTGTTGGGATGGAGTGTTCCACAAGATCTCTTGAAAATAAATAATCTTGTGATGTAATTGCTTCATAAACTTTTGGACACTTTTGGGGAGTACTTCTTCCTTCTACTACGGCTTCCTTCTAGGGTCCTCGTTCCTGCCTTTTTATTCCATGGCAACCTTCCTCTTTTTGTGATCTTTTTCTGGTTACCCTGACTAATTGGGTTCAACGTTTGATCCAGTTGGCCTATTCCTCCTTGTCTCCTTCCCAGCATGATCTCTTTCACGTTTCCTCACATCAAATCCGTCACCTTACCTTTTCTCTCTTATGACCCACCTGATGAGAACTACTGCTTTAGAGAATAGTTTGCAGGTTGTCATGTGAATGAAGCTGTAAAATAGTAAAATTTTATTTACATCACATTGCTGTCTCTTCAGTTTCAGGATTCCATTGGCCTCCATTTATGTTTTTTAAACTTAGATGGAATCCCATCAGATGATTTTTCCTATTTTACTTGCTTATTTACATTTGTGTTTACCCCTTTTGTGGGGTATAACTATATTTACTAATGCCCCTTTTAACTCTTTCAAGATGGCTTATGGGTGAAAGGCCATTTAATCTTGTTTGTTGACTCGCATTCAAAATGTTATTGAACTACTATTTCATGAACTTATGTCAATAAGTTTGGTATCAAAACTGTAGATTATAATTCAGATTTTAGACTATACATTAC